GATAACTCAAAAAATAATTGAGATAATCAAAATCTGGAAACGCCAAAAGTTAGATGAATATTCAAATCTTGGCAAATTTGTCGAAATGACTTCGGGTAGGGCGATTTCAATTGTAGATTTATGTACTTTAATGTAGTGTTTTTACTTTTTTTATGTAGGAACAATTTTTTCGAGTAATCGGCTATCGAAAAACTGCTATAAAATGGGACAACTAAAATCTTGGTCAAAAAACGTATTTTCCACAAATCGAATTTTTTTTTCGAATGAAGAATGGTTCCAAAAAATTGTAGATAAATTGTAGAATTCAAATCAATTGTCTGTTCTCAAATATGTCTGCCCGTTCGTTCGATATCGGGACGAGTCTTGAAAATTGGTCCAAAATCGGTAATACTCAAATCTTGGCCACAAATTGAAATTTCCACAAACTGAACTCACAAAAAACTCAAAGTTAAAACTTTGACCACGAGAGGTCAAGATAAGCGGTCCAATCCTCGAAAAGGACAAAAATTACATATTTTGTCTTTATGGTGGTTAAAACGCCACTCAGTGGCAGAAACGTCAAAACAAACTATAGCTGTCAAAGTCATTTACGCATTCGAATGCCGCAACAGTTTTATTCCACCAGCTTCCACCAGTGAAAGCAAGGATATTTATTATTAAACCGATTTGTGATACCGAAAATTTGCACGAAAATGTCGTTTGTTCGTGTTCATTGTGAAGATAAACGGCATTTCATAAAAATTGAAGATGTGGAAAATGTGAATTTTGGCAGTTTAGTCAAAATTGGTGAGTATATTTCTAGTTTGCTGCTTTTGATTCTTTTAGTGTTATTCATTAAATATCGCCTTTATGCAGTGGTCAAATCATTTGATTTGCAAGATGTTCATGGTGCAGTTTTCCATGTTTCCGACTCTCTGGACACATGCATCGATACAGATGAAATTCTGAAGCATGTTTTGAATACAAGAAACAACGGTGACTTCTTCCTGAAAATCGGTTTCAAAAGACGAGTTACTGATGTGAATAGATCAATTTTGTCCACTGTAAGAAATCAATTTTATCGTCTTCAATTCTTGTTTCACTTTATTTCCAATACATATTTCAATTTTCAGGATATTGAATCGTATGTCGATGACCATGGTGGCAAAGAAATTATAAGTGCGTTCAAAAATGATGATCGTTTGACTGAAAATTTGCGTAGAAAATTGGTGAACATAGTTCTCGATTTTATCATTGAACGATTTGGATTGTACCCGACAAAAGAAGAAAAAGTCGCAGTGGCAATGGCTACTGTGAATTTTTTTACATGCTTCAAGTTGGCGGAAAGCCGTGTTGGTGGAATTGTGAGTAAACGAATTTTGTTTTTTTTTTCGCCAACCAGATTTAAGCATTAATCTTTATTTGGAATCACATTTTTTTCGAAAGGAATTGTTCTACAATCCAGTAGGTGGACTAGGCTGGATAACGTCTGGTTTGAAAACACGGCGAGCAAGAGCCAATGGACAAGATAATGGAGAAAATTTGGATCAAAATATCAATCGAGACAGTCCATTGGATCCAAAAGCCGAAATTGAATACCTTCGTAGTGCTGTAGTGAACGAAGTTACTCTGCCAACCATTAAAGAAAAACTCACTCAAACGTTGGAATATCGCAGACTGCTATTTCGTGATCAAAACTTGAACCTATTGCAAGAGTTCCCGTACTTTTTCCATCATCCAGAATTGGTATAGATTATGATATTTGTCTGGTTTATTTGTAGAATTACAATAGTTTTTTTTCAGATTCTGCATGATTTTCAAAATTTATTCGAATGTAGCAATATCGCTGATTTTGTGTCTGATTGGCCATTATACAAAGAAAACGTGAAGACGGCCCTTATACAGCATGTTGCTGATACTGATTTTGCGACAGTTTTCTCGCCTGACATTGAGGATATTTTAATGCTTTTAAAGCTGTTGCCGAATAAACCCCGTGGACGAGCCACTTCTAACAATCGTTTGAACTTTTTGGAATCCATTGACCGTTTGATTGTATTTGGCAAAGTAAGTTGGGTGTTCACATCATTTTTCAGTTCAAATAATACGAAGAATCTTCATTTCAGCGCGGAACTCCTCCATGGAATTATTTGAAAAAAGAGCAAACTCAACCATACATAATTGCGTTCGGTCCGACACCAAAAATAATTCAACAGTACTTCATAGTTGTTGAAAAGCAACTGATCAATGTAAGTCGAACATTTTTAATGAAAAATCCATTTGTCAAATCATTGAAGTCAACCATGCACCACTATTTTGATTTCAGGTCCCGACACATTTTTCATTCATTGAGACATTTGACCTTCTATTCAAGTTGCACCACGTTTTGAATTTCGACTTTGATGTCAACCTCAAAAATATGATGAATTTTGTGGAATTTTACATGTATAAAATCTCCCGTCCATCATTCAAGCCAACAGTCCAAATGATCAAAGTATTCAAGGATTTAATGAATTGAATTCGATCTCATTTTTAAGTGCTATATTTTTTTTCTCATATCACTATTAGACTTATAAGGATTTTTTTTCGTTATTTAAAAACTAAATACAATTTACACAACAAACCTTATGAACCCAAAGAGCAATGAAAAAGTGCAAAAGATCACATTTGAAATGTTGATTAATTTAAGAGATGTCATATTTTTCTTACCAAATCTAAAGTACGTATATATAAATTTGTTAGGTTTATTCATAAAATATGAATTATCATAGGAAGACAACTTTGATTCGTTTGAACGACAGTTTTATTTATATATTTTTTTCTAATAAGAAATAGAAACAAGTTACATATATTTTTAAAACATATATTTTTAAAACATATATTTTTGTGATGATCGTGCAGAATAAGAAAACAAAATGCTTATTTCTTCTAACTTTGATTTGATAAGTCTATCAGAAGCAAGGTCTTGATCAGAAGACTGAAGAAACGTGTGATTTATTCAGTAAATAAAAACGCGTATAGCGAATTTGGAAATCGCTTAATTAAAATAAGTCAAAATTTCTGATTGATGATTATTTATTTTAAAGCATAGGTATGTTTTTGGCACAGTTTAATTCCTGATATAGTTCAATTCTTCTTTCATTTCTAATGAATCTACGAATAGGAAAACATCATCACCTATAATTTTTTTTTCATATGACTTAGTCGAATGCAAATCAGAATATTTTATTAAAGAAAATTCAACGGGCCCTATTTGCTTTACATTTACACTATGTAGAAAATCATCAAAATAAACACATTCGAATGGAGTACAAATGAACAAGATATCATTCTCATCGCAAATAATGTCATGTATTTCATAAAACCTCTTGTCATGTTTTATCAAGAGACCGTTTTCATAGTAGCTACTGTTAATTTTAAACCATTTTATTCGTGAAATATGATCTTTTCTTGGAAATGTGCTCAAAAGGTGTCCATATTTTTGAATGCGATCTTTATCAATTTTCGTTTTGGCCGCATGATTGATTACATCGTAATATTTTGACTTGAAAGAAGCTTCTTCTTGAAATCGATTTACTAAAGTTTTATTTATATTTCGAAAATTATTTGTTCTTCTTGCGATGTTAGTGAAATCTTTGTGCTTCATTTCAAAACGCAGCGTACTCATATGAACAAGTGGCCCGACAGAACGAATAATATGTGGGTAGTGAGTCATAAAATGATCCTTGGGCTTAAAAGTAATTCCAAAAGAGTCTCTCAAGCAGTTGAGATAAATGTCAATGGAATCAGTTAAGTCTTTTAAGTCTGATTCAGTAATAGTACCAGAATAACAAATGCATAAAATTTTCAACATGTTTTGAACACATTTCCAAACACTTTTCATTTCCTCATTAGATTTAAATTCAATAAATATGAACGGTAAATGTTGAATGAGACACTTCATCTGCGATGCGTTTTGATTGAGATTTTTCTTGTTTTTATCAATGTGAATATCGGAGGGCACACTATGTCTATTTAATACTCCATAATCAAAAAAAGATATCAAATCGCAAAGTTCAGTTTCACTAAATATTTTTCGACTAGTTCCTTGAAAACAGGCCCGTAGCGTGACCTGATCGGTCGGGGATGCGGCGCATCCAATCTTCAATTTGAAAAAAAAAAAACAAGAAAAAACTGAAGAGAGGCACCATGTGCAGCTGTTAAAATACGAATTTCTTCAATAACGAAAAAATGTTGATATTATTTGATAAAGAATATTGTAAGCAAAATTAGCGATTTATGCTTTCAATGTTCTGTTTACATCAAAAAATTCTTCATTGCATAGCGAATCGCGTAGCGACTCGTATATTAACTGCGGTAAGCCGTGAGTTATTCCAAGCAAATCCATATGCAGTGTATTGATTACATAAAATGCTACTCAGAATAATTTCGGCTGATGCTTGTTTA